CACGTGGCAGAGCGCCCACCCAAATCAGACCCCCCCCTTGTGATGTTCCAACCTGCTTTAGCCTGACCCACCAAAAGAATTTCGAGGACCAGAAAAGCACCCACGAACTCGAGGGTTTTCGCGTGTCGGGCCCTGGGAGACACTCGTCCGACATTGTTTCGACACTGTTTCGGCACTCTTTCGACACTTTTCTGGGTGCTCGAAATTGTTTCTGGGATGTGGTTTTCAAGTACGATGGGAGCAACATAACCCCCCCAAGTCAGCCCCCCCCCTTTCTGATTCGAGATCGAAAACCCGAGCATATGCATTTACCAGTGGCGGACTGTTTTCGATCCCAGAACTTCTCGAGGGTCGGGGAGGACGTCGGGGTGGTGTTGTGTATAATTGCTTCCTTGGTCTTCCGCGGAAACAGTGAAACATGTGTACACCAGTATCCCGTACACACCAGGATCCGCTTTCTTGTGCAAACTTCAGTGCGGGGCCCGAAAAAAGCGTCGGTGTATAGAGTTCGGTTCCCTACAAGAGGCTTGCGCAATTCCACCGACCCCAGACGAAGTGAGGCCTTGTGGGCGTCGTGAAGCCTCGTCAGGGTTTCCTGGGCGCTTGCTGGCTGTGGACGCCGTCGCGCGCATGGGATTCCTTCCAGTGTCAGGGTGCGTCGGAGGAGTGGCCACCGCGCAGTCGCTACTCCGCACATTGGGCTCACTTATCCTGCGCTTCTCGGGAGGGAGCACTGAAATACGTTGCTCGTCTCGCATGAAGCGAGATGCTCCTGGAGTGACGTCGCGGATGGTCGATACAATATTCTCATCTTGGGATTCGGAGACTGGGGGAGGAGGAGAAGAAGGAACAAATATGAAATAGACAGCGACGACAGTGAGAGGAAAGAGGAAGAGGAGGAGGAGGTTTTGGGGACAACGAGACGGTTTGTAATGTTGTCGGGGCTCTGTTCGAGGCCCCCTTCGTGCAGCTTGGGGGTGTCTTTGGAGATTCATTATCGGGGGCATTTGGGGGGTCTCGTTTGATCATGTTTGAGTCCCCCCAGAGCTGATAGGAGCCTCTTCGGGGCCTGCTGGCAGCCCAGGTGACGGCCTCGTGGAGACACGTCGAGGCTCCCAGGCCCCTGTGGGTATTTTTTGAGGCCAGTTGGGGGTTAAGGGGGCCATCTTCTTGGGGAGGGCTCGCGGGGCCTCTGCGGGTTCCCCCTCCTGGATCTCTTATCGGGCCAGATTCTGGTTGTTGGTTTGCCGTCTTGAGTGCCTCTTGGGCCGTCTCTTGGGGCCCTCCTTGGTCGCCCCCGGGCTGTTTTCAGAGTCTCTTGGACCAGTTTGGGCCAGTCTGCGGGGTCTCCTGGGCCGTCTTGAGCGCGCAGACGCCCGCAGAGCCGAGACCGCGAAAGTCAGGCCAAAACGTATGGGATGTTTGAATGTTATGTATGAATATGTGTATATATACACATACATACATACATACAAACATACATACATACATACATACATATGTATATGTAAACACATGCATGCATGCATCAATCCATCCATCCATCCATCCATCCATACATACATCCATACATACGTACATACATACATACAAACATACGTGCCTGCATGCATACGTACATACAAGACTGCAGTGGCGCTTCCCGGGCCTCGCAGGGCGTTTTGCCAAGCCTTCCCAGCACACCTAGGGCGATCAGGGGGGTCATCGGAGACGTCCCAGCCAGAGACCCCCAAGACAGCACAAGAGCGCTCCAAGAGTGACCGACGTGACCTCAAGATGGCCCAAGAGGCCTCCAGGACGGCCCCAAAGAGGCCTCCAAGAGCACTCCTAAGAAGGCCCCAAGAGGCACAAATAATTTATTCTCTATGGTTTTTTGGTGAATTTTGGGGTTCTCCTCTTTTCGGCTTCCCGACGCTCCAAGACGGCGGTCTTCTGGGCGTCCGAAGCCGCCTGGGAGGCTCCAAAATCGCCCCACAACCATCCGAAAGGGCTTCGAGGCAGTCCAAGAAGAGCCCCAAAACGGCACAACACGGGTCCATGATGACCCTCAGAAAGCCCCGTGGCGGCCCAAGATGGCCCAAAGAAAAGACACCCTCCGAAGCATTCCATATCGTGACCCGGTCGTTCAGGGAGACCGCGGTTGGAGGCAGGGTGGCCCGAGGAAGCCCCTAGAGGCCCCCAGAATACGCCCAGGAGGCTTCCAGAAGGCCTTTAGAAAGCCTGAGACAACTTTTGTGAAGCCCCCAGAGGCTCTCCAAGGAGGAGCCTCCGCAAAAAAGAGCTGAGGAGGATGGGGAAAATATGGACAAAGAAACATGGAGGAAGGATAACGAAAAACATTATTATAGCGTCGTTGCCGGAAAAGGCAACAAGGAGTTATCGCTAAATTGTCGGCTTGACCTTCCTGCTATTCCGCCTGCATACCAGGCTTCAAGGACCAAGGTGCATGGCGCGAAGCGCCACTGCAGTCTTGTGTATATATATATATATATATTATCATACGCACCTCTCCGTGGGAGTAGAGCTAAGAGGCGATTAATGCGCACGCGCCACGTCGTTCGCGATTTTTTGGGCCGTTTCGCCAGGGACATCCTGGAAATTCTGAAAATCGGTGGCACCACTTACACAGATCGTGACGTCAGGGTCCAAAAGAACACATGGGAATTTCGACATTCTAACATAAAACCTTCAAAAACACAATGTAATTTTAATGATTTTGACCCCGATTCTCAGAGAATGGTGGTTTCGCCTGAGACATACTCCCAAAATCGAGCCCAGACGTACCTTCTGGTACCCCAGACCCTGCCTCGGAACCTCCTGGGGGCCTCCTGGAACCTCCTGGGGCCTCCTGGGGCTTTCTGTACCTTCTGGTGCCCCAGACCCCGCCTTGGAGCCTCCTGGGGGTCTCCTGGAGCCTCCTGGGGGTCTCCTGGGGCCTCCTGGGGCCTCCTGGGGCCTCCTGCGGCCTCCTGGAGCCTCTTGGGGCCTCCTGGAGCCTCCTGGGGCCTCCTGGTGCCTCCTGGGGCCTCAGAACTACATGCACACACAGAGACACAAATCACACCCAACTCATCACACGCTAGACAAACATTACACACACACACATACACACACATACAACGCACAGAAGACACGCACAACACAGAACACACATCACACACCCACACAACACTCACAATCCTGGGGCCTCCTGGAGCCTCTTCCGGTATCCAAGTCGGGCCTCCTGAGGCTTCTTGGTGGGCCTTGGTACACACATCGCAAGGTGTGGCAACCCCACTTGCGCTCGAGTGCGACCTCGCTATTGCATTTCACTCCCAGCAGCTATCCTCCTCCTCCTCTTCTCCTCCTCTTTCCCTCCACAAATTGTCTATTGAAACAAATCGGCTGGTGGGAATCGTGCTTACACTTCTCTTATTAATCGCTTCGCTCACTCTGCCAGCCCATCTTGCATCACTTGTATGAGCCTGGGCACACACGTGCCACTTGTATATATTTGAGTCCCTCTGCGTCCTCTTGGGGCTTTCTTTCGGCGCGTTCGGCCGTCTTGAGGCTATCTCGGATGTGCTCGAGGCCTCTCCAGCGTATTCGGGGCTCTCCGTGAGCCATCTTGGAGAGGCACCTTTTGGTCTTGAGCGGCCACGGGGGTTGGATTTGCAGGCTCTGGAGGCCCCAGGGGTGCGCTGGGGAGCCCGGGGACCCCTCACGCGCGATTTCGGACCCTGGGTCGGCGACTACGAAGGGTTTACGATCGGCACCGTTGGGGCCTGGGGGGCACGACGCTGTCCTCGTCGGGCCTCCTCGGGGCGCGGGAGAGCTCTATCGAGGTCCCCGCGCGCTCCCCAGGGTGCCCCCCAGGACCACACCCTTTGCAAACCACACCCTTTGGAGTCGCCGATTGGGGGGGTTAAGTCGGGCCTGTCCCTCTACAGGAGGAATACTCAAAAATAGTAAAAAATTGTCTGGGGACGACTTTTTGATTGTTTCTCTACCATTTGGGGGCATGTTTTTACTACTTCCAAATTTTCGTCCAAATCCGCCTGTAGGAGGACATGCCCGACCTCAGCCCTGGGGGAGGGTAACAAAGCGTGGGGTGCGGGCCTCGGCTGTTCGCGCTCGGTCCGCTGCCCCTCCGCCGCGGCGCCGGTTCCCCTGGCCCTCGCTCGGCCCCGCTGGCCCCGTGGGAGTTGGCGAGTCGGCATAAAAAAAGAAAACATTTCACCCGAAGAAGAACAAAAAGCACGCCACAGGAGGGGGAGGAGGGAGGAGGGGGAGGGAGGAGGCGGAGGGAGGAGAAGGGAGGAGGGAGGATATAAAAACAGAAAAAGCGCCATATAGATTGTTGGCGCTCCGAGCGGATTTCTTGGACCTGCGCTGGACCCCCCTCCCTGGCGCGCTCCGCGCGCCAGGGGCGCCGCCGGGGGGGGGGGGGGGGGGGGCAGCGCGGGTCCAAGAAGTCCGCGCGGAGCGCCAGCAGTTTATGCTTATGCCGTTTTTCCCTACCTAGGCTCTGCCTAGAAGGGTTCTTACTCTCTTAGCTTGAAGGGGCCGGGCAGTGGAACACGCCCCGGGCGGTTCCCCCAGTCCCCTGGGAGCGGTTCCCCCAGTCCCCTGGGAGCTTTAGCTTTAGCTTAGCTTAGCTTTAGCTTAGCCTTTAGCTTAGCCTTTAGCTTAGCCTTTAGCTTAGCCTTTAGCTTTGCCTTTAGCTTTGCCTTTAGCTTAGCCTTAGCTTAGCTTTAGGTTGGCTTTAGCTTAGCTTCAGCTTAGCTTTAGCTTAGATTTAGCTTAGCTGTAGCTTAGCTTTAGCTTAGCTGTTGCTCAGTTTTAGCTTAGCTTTAGCTTAGCTTTAGCTTAGCTTGAGCTTATATTTAGCTTAGCTTTAGCTTAGCGTTAGCTTAGCTTTAGCTTAGCTGTGGCTTAGCTTTAGCTTAGCTTTACTGTTACTACTAATGCTGCTTTCCTAGGGGTTCCAACTCCTAGGTAGGGTCTCACTGGGATAATTTTGTTCCTGTCCACCTACTCCAACCCCACGTCCCAGGCAGGAGGACCTGCCCCGCCTCGCCCGCCGCCCCTCCCCGGCGGCAGGGCATTTGACAGAGCACGCCCCCCGCAGCCGCGGGCCCTGGGCGCCCGGCGCGCGGGCCCCCGAGGCCGCGGGCGGCGCGTGCATTTCAAGACCTCGCCGACCTCGCCTCCCCTCCCTGCCTCCCCACTCCCTGCCTGCCTGCCTGCCTCCTTCCTCCCACCTCTCTCTCTCTCTCTCTCTCTCTCTCTCTCTAAGAAGAAGAAGAAGAAGAAGAAGGAGAAACAGAAACAGAAGAAGAAGAACCCCCCCAAAAAAAAACGGTACAATGATAAACTGCTGGCGCTCCGCGTGGATTCCTCGGACCCAAGCTGGCCCCCCCGGGCGGCGCCTCCGGCGCCGCCCCTGGCGCGCGGGGGTCCAGCGCAGATCCAAGAGATCCGCACGGAGCGCCAACGGATTATGTGTTTGTGGCGTTTCTTCTTCTTCTTCTTCTTCTTCTGTATCCTCCTCCTCCTCCTGAACTGAGGGCCCCGCCCCCTGGCGGACTCAGGCGCGCCTCGCCCCTCGCCCCTCGCCCCTCCTCCTCTGGGGAGGGGGACCGCCACCTCGCGGACCCTTCGAGGCCTCGACGGCCCTGCCTCCCGCCCTTCCCCCCCAGAGGCCTTCCGTGGCCGCGCCCGGGTCCGCCGGGGGAGTGTTGGCCCAGGCGCGCCCCAGGAGGGGCCCCGAGGTCGACGTTTGACGCTTGGGGCCCCCGCCCTGATGGACCTGTCTTCCACCACCACCACCAGAAGTTGGAGGGGGGAAGGAGGTGGAGGACGAGGTGGAGGAGGAGGAGGAGGAGGAGGAGGACGAGGAGGAGGTGGTGGAGGAGGAGGAGGACGAGGAGGAGGACCCCCTCCCCCTCCAACTTATGGTGGTAGTGGTGGAAAACAGGCTCACACCTCTTCGGGTCGTGAAGAGCACGACGGGCGCTTTTGGGGCAGTCTTCGGCCTCTGGGGCCCACGGGGCCCCGGGGGACCATCAGAGAACGACTCAGGATGAAAAGCAGGCACAGAGGAAGGCGTCCAGATCTCTGGGGGCCCACGTTGCGAACAAAATCACGACGCCAGAGTTCTGGATGTCCCCCTCGCCTCATCTTCATCTCCTGATCTTATGGCACCTCCACCTCCTCCTACTCATCCTGCGCCTCCTGCTCCTCCTCCTCCTCCTCCTCCTCCTCCTCCTCCTCCTCCTCCTCCTCCTCCTCCTCCTCCTCCTCCTCCCTGTGGTGCATGCTTCGTGACCTAGTGGACGCAGCCGTGCGATTTCCTCAGAGAGCAGGGTCTGAGGCCACCCCCGCTTTGGCTGCCGCGCTTGTCTCTCCCTCCTTGCCTCCTCCCCCCCTCACAGGCACGCGCAGAGGGGGTTGTCGGGAGTCTTCGTCGGTTCTCGGCGGTGTTCCAGCGTCGGGATGCATTCCAGCAGCTGCGCCTCGCCGGGAGCGTTCCGGGGGTGCCCCGATCGTCCCGAACGGCCGCCGGAGACCCGAGTTATGTCCCGAAAACCAGATTCGCCCACGCGCAGAGGAGGGCAGGGGGAAAGGGGGAAGACTTCTTAGCAGCGCCCCTGCTGCTCCCGAGGCGTGGGCCTTGGGTGCTTTCTAAGAAGCAGCCTCCTTCTGAGAAGCCGACCCCCCTCCCCTACAGTCGGGGCGCTGACGAAGGAACCCTTTGCGTTGGGGAGGGGCTCCGTGTTCCTTAACTGTTTCACAGTTTGCCTTCGGTTTTCCTTCGGTCTTCGATGGGAAATCGAAGTTTAGATGGAAAAAGGGAGCTTTGCTCCTTATTTAGGGTTCCTTATGTCAACGCCTCGACTGAACCCCCTTGTGCACGCGGCCAACCCCCCTCAGGGTTGTTCTCTCACTGATTTTATGCGAGTTGCGTGCCGGCCTCTGCTGACAGGCTCATTGCTTCATCAGCGCCTCAGTCCGACAAAAAGTCACCCCCCGCCCTCAGCGAGAGGTTATCTATTTCGACAGACTCGAACGCGCTTGCAGGGCCGGGTGAGACATGTCGCGTGGCCCGCAGTTTTGTGTCCTGGTGAATCCCCGCTATCGAGTCGCCCTGGGTGGAGGAGGGGGCTGTTGTGGTCACTCCTCCCTCGGGTGTCTCGGAGGGTAGTCTTAGGTCAGACATATCCCCCGACAGGCATATTCTGGCCCCCCCCAAAAAAATAGTCAAAACAAAATGCGCGAAGATGGCCAACAGAGAATCGAAACATCGTCCCCAGACTATTTTATGACTGCTTTTGAACATGCGGCACCCCCAGCAGCCTTCGCCCGTCCAAAGAGCGCCTCGATTAGACTTTCTGGAATGTCACGAACTGGTCAGCGCTGGCGCGGCACGAGGTCTCTCATGCTGTTGGCTTGCTTGACCTGTCCTTCTTTATTGAACACCGTCGAGGCCCCCAGCAGATGGCTGCTGCGAAGAAGGGTTGTTCTCAAGTGGGGAGCCGCCCCCTATGGCTATGATGTTCCAGCCTACTTTCGCCTTGATCACCAGGAAAAAATCCGAGCGCCAGAAAAGTACCCCAAAACTCGAGGGTTTTCACGTGCCGGGCCCTGTGAGACACTGCTTCGACACTCCTTCGACACTCCTTCGACACTTGTCCGGGTGCTCGAAACTATCTCTGGGATGTGGTTAAAACAAGGCTAGGATCGGGATACATCGCTCCAGAGCGTTCCGGAGCGCTCTCAGAGCGTTCCGGAACGCTCTGGAGCGGCCGCGGCGCCCAATACATCCTCCAAACCCGCCGATTCTCAGAGATTTCGAGTTCTCCCGATCCGATTTTGTCCCGATCTTCGCGTCGTTTCAGTGGTCCTTAAGTTCGATGGGAGCAACAATAACCCTGAGGGGCAGCCGCTGGGGCGCCCGAGCGGGTGGGGGCCACGGGGCGGCGCCCCCTGCCTGGCGCGGGCCTCCCGGGCTGCGCAGGCCCGGCGGCAGGCTCGGGGTCCTGGGCCGGTGGCCCCGATGCGGGCAGGAGCTCGGGCCCGGTCCCTTCGCGGGAGGGATCGGGGGGGGGGAGGGGGAAGAGGAGGAGGAGGAGGAGGAGGAGGAGGAGGAGGAGGAGGATTTCAGGCGAGGCGGCCTCTTCAACTGGTGGGCTCTCCGTCTTCGCTCTCCTGGCTCTGTGGGGGGGGCCGTTGCCGAGCCCCCTGCGGGCAGCAGGAGCGGGCCCCGCAGGAGAGAGCTGCCCCCGGGGGGGCGTATGGGGTCGCGGATGGACCGGGGGCCCCCAAGCGGGGCGGTGACCACGCCGTGCGGTGAGTCGGCGGGGATTCGGGGTCACCGCACGGTTTTGGGGCTCGAGTCCTTCTCCGAGGAGGTCTCGGGCGACAGGGGCCTCCAGGGTCCCGAGGCCGTGCGGTGACGGACCGTGCGGTGAGGTCTTGGGGGGATGTCGAGGTCACCGCACGGTCAGTCACAGCACCGTTTCGCAACCCCCAGAGTAAGTTCAACATAATCAAAAGATAGTCAGGGGACGATTGTTCGATTGTTTCATGTAATATTTATCATTCTAGATATGTTTTGAATGTCCCTGCTCAAGTCGGCTTCGATCCAGGCTCACGTCGGGTCTGTCCCTCTACAGGAGGAAGTTTCAAACATAGTCAAAAAATAGTCCAACAAAAGTCAAGAGACGATGTGTCGATTATTTGCTTACCATGTGGGGGTATGTTTTGCATATCTGTCGTCCAAAATCGGCCTGTAGGGGGACATGCCCGACCTAAATCTAGGCCTCCCAGATGGGGTCGGAGTAGATGGGGTCGGACGAAGCGCCGCATCGCCGACGCATCGACGATGCAGCTCGATGTGGAGCCCAATTTGCTTCACGCGGACGTCGCCGATGCATCGCCGACGTCGCCGATGCATCGCCGACGTCGCCGATGCATCCCGAGTGCATCGCCGATGCATCGCCGAAGCATCGCCGATGCATCGCCGATACATCGCCGATGCATCGCCGATGTATCGCCGATGCGGCGCAATCCTCCGACCCCATTTACCCGACCCCATCTAGGAGGCCTCCATTCGATGGCCTTGTATCAAACGAGCGACGCAGGAAGACGTCGTCGTCTTCGCCGACATTGGCGCGCGTGAGCGGTCCGCGTAAGGTCATGCGTGAGCGCCCTCGTGTCCGGCCCGCGGAAGCCACCGCGTGAGGTCGCTGTGTCATTTCGCGTGAGGCCCGTTTCTTCTTCCCCCCCCTATTGGGGCTCGCTTGGGCCTTGGGGATCTCCTGGGGGGCTGTTGGGCCGTCTTCAGGTGCGTTCTTGGAGGCCTCCTGGGTCGTCTTGGACGCTGCGAAGACCGAAACAGGGAACATGCTGAAAACGTGCGGTTTGCAAAGAGGTTGGGCAATTGGGGCCATGCTGGGCCCTCTTGGGGAGCATCTTGGAGCCTTCTTGGGGCGTCCTGGGGGCCCCTCGGAGGCTCCTCGGCCCTCTTAAGGCCATCCTGGAGCGTCTTGGGCCCTATTGCGCCGCTCTTGTCGCCGAACCCGGATCTGTTTTGGGCAGCCGGGGAACTCCAACTCACACGTCGAGCCCTCCGCCCAATGAGGACCCCCCAGGCCGCCAGTAGGCCCCCAGAGGCCTCCACGAGGCCCCGGGAAGGCTCCAAGAGGCCCCCTCACAGGAGGCCCCCCCGACAGCCCTCGAGAGGCTTCGCAGCTGGCCCCCAGAGGCGCCCGAGGAGCACGCCGAGAGGCCCCGGCAGGCATCCCAGACGCCGCCGACCCGCTACCCCGGCGCAGTGGGCCTGCCACAGGGGGTGTACGGCGTGCCACTGCCGACTACGCCGTGGCTCAGGAAAGCAGCGTCGCTACCGTGCATGGACATTAGATTCGAACCCTGTGGCCCAAGATGCCCCCCAGACCCCCCGAAATTAATATTGATGGCGTGGCGACGGGGGGGGGCGTGAGTGGACAGAACTATCCCAACCCCAGAGCACCGCCTTTCCTGAGATCAACATTGATGTCGGGGTCGCGGGGGTGATTTAGAATCTCCCTCGAATGTGTAAGGGTTCGAATCTATTGTCCATCTACTGTAGAGCCACTCATCATGGCGCCAATATCGCAGAGCGGATTTCGCTCGGAAAAACAGTAGGATGAGCCCGGAGTGTCCTGGAGAATTTCGTTCCGGGTTTCGCAGTGAAGTTCGTGCGGATTTTTGTTGGGCCAGGAATGAAGACTAAAACAAATCCACGCGAAATTCACTTCGTTTTTCACTCGACGTTTCGGGGTTTTGCATTGGCATAAATCCACGCAACAATCCGCTACAGCGCGTCTGCAAGGTCGGTGCAGTGACACTCAGGTGAACGAGTTCTCCATCTGGTTAAATGGCCTTCTTGAACTAGTCGTCTGGGTCGACGCCGCCCATGGAAGGCCCAGAAGTGGTCGTAGAGGTCGCCCATCACGGAGTGCCACATTTCTGGCAGGTGTTTGGTTCCTTTCTGCAGAACTTCCCGTGGAGCTTCGGCACAGCCCGCTGGCCACCCGGAAAGCTCCTTAAAACCCACATCCCGTGAACTTTGTCCGCTCAACATGGCCTCGAGACGGCCTCCAAGGCGACCAAGATGGCCTCTGGAACGGCCAGGATGGCTCCAAGAGACCCTGGGATGGCCGGCAAATGTGGCCAAGACGGCCCAGGATGCACTCACGGCGGCCGCAGATGGTCTCATGATGGCCCACGGCGGCTTAAGAGGTTTCTGAGAAGACGGCCCAAGAGGCCTCCAAGAGGACCTACAGGAAGGCCCGAAGAGGTTTAAATGTGTGATGTTCCTCTGATTGTTGAATGATGTGGGTTTTGCACATGTTCGGCGTTCCGACGGCCTAAGACGGTCCGACATAACCCCAAGATCGCCCTAAGATAAGATTGCCGCAGTGGCTTCCGAGATGGCCTCAGGACGCCACATGGAGCCCGCACGACGGCCCCACGACGGTCGTAGATGGCTTCCGAGGCGCCCAAAATGACTTCTGCGACGGCCAAGATGGCCCCAAGAGAACCCGAGATGGTCGCGCAACGTGTCCAAGACGGCTCAAGATGCAGCCAAGATGGGCGAATTTGACATCCAGATGGCCCAAGAGTGCCTAAGAGGCCCCAAGAAGCTCTCAAGACGAGCCAAGAGGTCCGTCATGAAGGCTCAAAGATGCCAATATCAGTGATGTCCTTCTATGTGTTTGAGGGATTATGGCATTCGCTTCTGGTTGACCTTCCGACGGCCCAAGGCGGCCCACGAGGTCTCCAAGGTCGCACCAAGATCACCCAAGAGGCCTCCAAGATGGCCCCACGACGGTCCAGGAGGCCACCAAGAGGGCCCTCAGACGGCCCAAGACGTTCAAGATG